AAAGTTTAAAGACCTTTCTGGTCTAATCCACAAATTTTCATTAACTTTGGAAACCAAAGACCAATAACATTTTAACCTGTCTATAGACACATTTCACAACATGAATATTCAGTGATGAATCTCTAAACCCCCCACCCTCAATTCCCAAGAGAATGCAGAATACTACGGCTGAATGATTGATTATTTTTAATATAAAAATTACAATTTGAAAGAGCTGCAAGTTTGACAATATGTTTAATGCTCAAAAGCATCTTAACAAGCCGTAGGAACCAAGTTTAAGCTGGCTAATGTTGTCTTAACTACTTTTAATCAACTTAATTCTTGCGTTGGCCAAAAACAAAAGGAAACTCATCTGTTTCATGGTTAATAAACTCTCTGCATGAGGGTGTCTTTTTAAGTTGGACTGAATGTGGGCTACTTCTGTATGTGTTCTATAGTCTTCTTTGCATCATTAGCCAAGTTCACTTTTCTCTGACTAGTTTGAAAAAAGAAAATTCTGGGACAACCTCTACAACAAGCAACTGCATTAATTATTATTTTTATATGATTCTATCCATGAAGAAAAAAAATAAGCTTGGTACAAATAAGGTACAAATTGTACCTCAATTAACACTATGTAGACCACAAGTACAGGCCTTATAGAAAATCATCCCAATTTAAATTGCAATCACAATATTGGTCAGAATATATCAGAATTATTATTATTGCATATTTTCCCCAAATCATGCAGCCTTATTGGAAACTGAGGTTGGACCCCTGTAACAGCAAGTAGATGCTGTCAAAATGTAACTGAGCAACACCTCAGCCCGACCTCAGGTCAGAGGAGGACTATGCTTTTGTTGAATTTTAACATTGGTCTGCTGCAAACTGCTACAGCTTTATGGACACCGACACAGAGGATTTACTGCCTTGCTCAGGGGTCCTGCTGTTGGCTGCTGAAAAGGCGCAAGATTTTTTTCTTTCCCAGATTTTCCCAGCTGGATTCAAAACAGCAACCTTCCTTTGACCTCAAAGCTCCTGCCCCTCAAAGGGACATTTTTATCAGTGCCTCCACACGCCATGAGCCGCTAAAGCTAATTGTGCACATCAACCAGCCTGAATAAAGCTGTTGACCAGTCTACCACGCCGATGCCTTTGGATAACTTTGGTGGCGTTTCTCTTTATTTCTCCAGCCCCTCCACAGGTTTCAACAGTTCATCCCTCCCAGTGTGGTAAATTACATTTATCAATTTACAGCTCTGCACAAACTCTGCCTTCACCTCTGCAAACATTGATACAGCTATAGCATCATGTTGCTGTGTGTGAGTGCTGGGATGTATTTTGTGTTTGTGTGTAGGTGTAAATCTGAGAGAGAGGGGAAGTGGAATGGAGTTAGTAGGTGACCTTGGGGCAAGAATGCACAAGCAAGACTGATGATGTGTTAAACTGTATACACACACACACACACACACACACACACACACACACACAATATCAATATGTCACGGCTGGTCATGCCTGATGTTATTCAGAGTGCTCTGTTGTTTTGCTTAGGTTGTCAAATGATCCCTGAACTGTTTAGAAGCACAAGAGTGAGACGAGTAAACCAACCACAAGGTTCAAGATAAATTCTGAAAAGCAAGAAATAAAGCACACATCTCCATTTTATTAAATTTTTTTATTTACATTTTAGTAACTTAATATCTTAGGATTTTTGAGCGTTGTTCAAAGACATCACCTTCGGCTCTAGGAAATTGTCAAAATTCACTTTTTCCTGAAATTTCATAGATCAACCGATTCTTCAAGAAATAATCAGATTGATCAATAATGAAAATAATTGTTAGTTATAGCCCACAATGCACTTTAAGTTCAGAATGTACTTTTCATTTTTATTTACTGTTTATTAGTTTTCCTTTACTAGTACAGATGACAAGGACAAACAATGCTTCCCCTCACCCCAATTCCCCAGATCCTTCCCAATAACACAAAAACAAAACCTTAAGCTACCAATAATGTACTGTATAGCTTACAAAAAAAGAAAGAAACAACACAGCAGTACCAAAATAAATATACTAACAAAAACAAAAAATATATGTATTAAAATTATTTCTGCACTCTAGGTAGTACACACAATGCCATGCGGTGATCATTTTTAGGAAACTATAAGATTGTTGCTTTATGTTAGAGGATCTCTAAAGCTTGCTGATTAGAGAGGGATATAATAAAAGGTTTCCAGATTTCCTCAGACAAATTTTGTCTATTTTTCAATCTTAAAGTTGCATGATGCCATTTCATTGATCTATTTATTTATCTATTCTATCTGTCATATTTGTTTTCTTCCAATTAACATCAATAAGCAGTTTGGCTTTGCAAGATCCACGTCTTTTGGTGTATATTCCTTCCTCCTTAGTTTTAAGCTTGAAGGGTATAAATTCAAAATGAAAATCTTAAGTTCGAGAAGACCCACATAGGTCATTCTGACTTCTTTCAAAAAAATCCATTATTTTACAATATTCCCTAAAACAATGATGCAGAGTTACTTTACATTCATTACACTTAGTGCATGTGTCTGGCATGTTGTTGTCAAAATTGTGTAATTTTATGGTGTTACATATATACGCACGAGCCAATTATAATGCAACAGCAGGCATATTAGATGATTTTTATAGTTTCTGTGCATCTTCACAAACCATGTTCCAATCCTCCCACATTATTTCCTCAATCAAATCCTTCTGAATTTACTTATTTATGTAAAACCTCTTTTATTTGTGGTCTTACATAACAAGACAGGTTGAATAAATCTATATTCTTGTTTACTGCAGAGGACTACAAAAGTAGTCAAGAGGTGAATTGTCTCTCTCTCACACTTCGAAGTTGCCCAGTGCAACCTATTGCAGTCCACTGAGCAGCTCCAGTGGAGCAGGTGCAGATTCAGCGTCACGTTCAAGGGCATCTCAACAGCAGTGATGGATGGATGAGTGCCTCTGGTTCAATTTATCCATTCAGATCCCCTTCGTCATCCCGGGGATTCAAGCGGGTGACTTCAGTCTCTCAGTTCATGACGCATTTTTTTTAATTGACTGTAGTCAGATTTCAGGGAATGTGAGCACAACAAATCAGCAAGCTAGAGTGAGAATTAAAGCTTGTTGGCTCAAGCTGCCTGGTGTCTGACAGATTCAGTTCTTTGTTTTTTGGGGGGGAGCCAAGTAAGGTGATATACAAGTAAGGTTATATACTGGTGCTCGGTAGCAAAGTATTTCAACGTCTGTTTGCTGCCAAGTCACATTTTGGCAACACATGAAAATCTGTGGTACGTGAAACACCTGAGTACACATGGTTGGTGCAAAATATTTATACTGTGTTTCAATGGAGGGATATTTCTGAACATGCTGGCTCTCTTTTCTCTTTTTTACAGTAACACCTTCCATCACCTTGTGACCTGAGCTGAACAGTGCAACAACACAGTCCTCTCCCCTGCTACTGATCACTAGGCAGGATTTCAACTGCTGACTGTGCTCATGTTAAAGATGAAACAATTCAACAAATGATAAGAATCTTATTTATCAAGCAAAAACATTTGCTGGTTGTAGCTTCTCAAATGTGAGCAATCGCGCTTTTTTTATTGGTTATATCATTGTAGGCTGAATTGTCTGGCAAAACAATAATACTGATAATGAGTACTTTATCTTTCCCCTTAAGGAAATTCATTTTTGTCACTCTGTTATTTTTTTTACACACACACACACACCTGAAATACACACACGCACACACCAGACTTATAGACATGTCTTAATGCGGAGAGATGCCACAATAATTGAGCTGCCCATAGCATAGCACCTATAGCAGTTAGGGCTTTGGTGCCTTGCTCAAGGGCACCTCAGCAGTGCCCAGGAGGTGAATTGGCACCTCTTCCTGTTTTCAAGCCAAGTGCCTACATAATGAGTTACTACCACCCAAACAAAAAAACCTTGGGCTCTGGGAAATTGTTTCATATATATTCTCTTAATGTTTGCATGATTCATGAGGCATGTTTGTAAAACATTAATTTTCTTTACCTCTGGTTAGACTCTCCAGGCATACAGCTGCTCTCACAGACTGAAAGGTCAAGTGTGTCCTCTGTTGTTTAAGAGATAAATACTGTGGCATCCACAGCACAGGTTTTGCAGAAACAGAATTACCACAAACGACCATGAATAATTTGAATTAAGTCTTATTTGCCAGTGTTGTTATAGATGCTACTTGTCTGCATAGTGGCCTGTCTTGTGGTCGACAGCCGCTGAACAACTCATGTATGTCCAACTTGATCCGCAAACTCGTGAGAATACCAACTAGAGATGTTGAACAGCAGGTGGTAGCCTCCTGAATTACAAATGGCCCAGAGCTACATCTTCCCAGCTGTACATTAAACAATTCAACTCGCAGATCCTGTCAGGGCAGCGATGATGTCGATGCTGACATGTTTGAAAACAGACCAAAACCCTGAGCAGAATGGACTGAGGCCAGTTTCTCGAGGAGCATCACAAATCCAGCGCTGCGCGCCAGAAGCCATATGACGCACACCTGTAACGAGTCCTCTAATCATAAACAGAAATCCCGCTGATAATTCACATTTACGCGTGGCAACAAAACAATGCACGTTAAGCTGCATGTGATTTAAAGAGGAGTAACCACTACAGGAGGCTCGGTTGGCGTTAGCTGTGGAACCGGAGAGGTGCCGCTTACTGGGGCTACAATGATGCCAAAGACTCATAATGGGGGTAAAATATACGCCACAGATGACACACACGCAGATGCCGCGCAACAGCAAGGCAAAATAGAGGCGAGTGTGTTTCATATGGCAGCATGTACATATCCAAGGCAACTTAGAGGTGAATTGGTGATAGCCTCGTGGTCTATCTGCGGTACAGCCCACCACAGATACACCTGCGTGCGGATACGCAGTTGAGTCCCCACTCCTCTCAGTCTGTGGCGGTGTCATTGTCGAAGTGGCAACTAATTTAAAAGAAAAAAACAGCGCTCACCTCTTTGGTGTTCACGATGCCTTTGACGTATTTCCCTAGGACTGAATCCACGCAGAAGACGCTGGACAGCACAGCCAGGCACAAGAGTCTCTCCCCGACCCTCACCTCCATCTTTCTCTCTCCCCCGCTGTCGCTCGTCTGCTCTCCGGGCTCTCTGAAGCCTGTCTCTGAGTGGGAGCGCGCGCGGAGGAACGGCTCGAGTGCGAGCGACGGTGAAAGAAGAACCAGGCGCGTTCACGTTGGTCCCTTCAATGCATGTGGGCCCCCCTCCAGCAGTGGAAGCTGGATGGTGGATTCTGTGTGTGGTTGTTTGGGAGGAGGACGGGAAGGGGGGACAGAGTGCGCGCTCCCGGTTCCGCTCGTGCTTTGAGAATGCGACACGTCCACACAGTAAAAATGCCATCGCCGATTGCAATCATGTTTTCATTAGAGGTCACACACCTCTAATGAAGTAGCACTAAGACAGATGATGCCTGGCCTCCTGGCTCAAATTATTATATCACTAATCAGCAGGATGTATATCAACAGGAACAGGATCTAATTGGCGTTATTACTACTGAATTCCCTTGAAAAAATACTTTAACAGCTTCTGTAATTCTGTGTCCAATTTAAAAACAACAGTGGAGGAAGTAGGCAGAGCCCTTGATCAAGCAAAAGTAGAAGGCATTGTAAAATGCAAGTATAATCCCTTCATTTGAGTCGAAGATGAGCCAACTATTACTAATTTATATGCAGTTTAATTCATACAAAAATATCACATTTTATAAGACCTTGTATAATCCAAGAGATACATCTTTAACATTATCTGTCAGAGGAGTGAAGAGTACATTGTTTTCCTCTTAAATGTGGAAGAATAGAAGTATAAACTCGCATCAAATGGAAAAACAAGTACCTCAAAAGTGTACTAACAGTACATGGTTACTTTCAGACTATATAGAGAAATGATAAATGAATAATATCACAGAGAGCTCTCTGCATTTTGTATTTTTGGGATGTCATCCGACACTTTTTATGTTTACAAAAGGTCAACCTTGTAATTGACCTTTCCCCTCGTTCTGACTCACTGAACTCAAGATGTTAGTAAAAATTCAATTACGATTTTTTTTTGGTATTCCCAAATTCAATCATAAATCATAATCAAACAAAGAAAATCCAAAGCCACCAAATATACTGACAATATCTATCCAGGTAGATTGAATTATAATCTCTATTTTTTTTAATCTACGTGACTTTCAGTTAACCTTTAGGTCGATCAATGCAAAGAAAAGGTTAATTGATGGGCTTGAACACAACAGCAGGTTCATGGGAGAATATATTTATTTAGATAATAATCATCAAAGGAAGAAAACAGCCTACTCATGGTGTGCCAAATACAATGTTCTTAGGAAACCTGCAAAGAAAATGCAGTCAAATCAATCAGCAATCAATCTGATTAACAAATCTGAAAGTAAAAATATCTACATGAATCATATAATGTTTAATACAGGTACATTCTTTTTTTTATTCACAGGTTTGCACTTGTGGTGTTTTGGATGAAAGAAAAAAAAAAAAGACTTAAAAAACAAGTAAACTTTTAACAGTTGTGTTTCCAGTCTATGGCTTCTTTCTTTTAAAAGGATAATCATATTCTACATCAGAATTGCTTTTTTCAGTGCAGAGCAGTTTGCATATGGAGTGCAGACAGACTATGACACTGGCTAGCACCTGCATTTTCAACGATACCAGTTAACACAGCAAAAACTAAACAGCAAGTACAGTACATCTATTACAAGACTGTCTGCAGTCTTTGGTTTTGCTCAAAACTTTAACCATACATACATACATGTAACTGATTGACCAAATGAGTATTTCTCACAAGAAAACACTTCTGAGGAGTGGTTGAGGTCAGTCTAATGCACTGATGCATTTGTGAAAGAATTAGCTTTCCAGGAATCTTGTTAGATATACCTTAAAACATTTGGTGTGGTATTTGGATGTGTATACCAACTATGAAATCCAACCTTGAGGTGATTCAAACGCATTGCACAACAACAAACACCACAGCTCCGACTGAGAAAACGGAGAAAAATGATGTGATGTCAGTGTGCAACTGCATAACTTTACTGTCAATGGTGACCTAATCGTTGAAGCAGCTAGTGTTTATAGCAGCATTTCACTTTGCATTGCACCTCACCAAAATCTGCCTGGGGGAAAGAAAATCTCAAGTGAGAAGAGCTTTCAAAGAGTAAAACTAGAGGTATGCTGTACAATCTGATAAAAAAGCAGCAAACTAATACAGCTAGTTTGTACTCACAAGGACAATTTATGATTATAAAGTTGGTCTGTGGATCATCAACAATTAGACACTATATGAAGCAGCTTCTCTAATTGAAACTGAAACGAACATTTCAGCTCTTTATTGCAGGCAGCATATAAGTCTCAGTGGAACCCCCAAAATAAAGAAGTGGAGAAGCTAAAAGGTAACAGACCATCCCTGTAAACTCATCTGTTCAAAATACCAGATGGCCTCTCTGGTCCATCACCTGCACTCAGGTTGGCCTGATGCATGAGTGGTCTTCAAGGGTAAGAGCCATACGATGGCCAATAAACAGCAAATGGGTGAATTTGACACTTTTTTTTGTTTTCTAGTAGCTCGCATCATTTATACAACAAAGTGCCAATGAGCAGTCAGTATTGCTGGGCTTCACAGGCGGTGGTGTTTTCAGTACTGATGAAGTCAATGTATCTATCACAGACAGAGTGTTGTCCCATACAGGCTTGACTACATCAAACAGGTTGCTCCCAACAACAGATGATTAATACTATGAATAATCTCCTGACTATAAAGTGGCGTTTGCCTTTATGTGAACACACGACACAAACAAAGAGGACGTGCCCACACTTGAGCTCATGTTTCTCACACACCAAAGGAACTACTCAGGTCGCGCGAATGCGCACACGCAGACACTGGAGCCACACATACAGGCACCAAGGGGGGAAAAAAAAAAGAACACTGACATGTATACAAGCTCAAGCTTAAAATACACTTGAACGGATCAACTACCACAAAAGTGCAGCGTGAGCATAAACAGCAGCTAGTAAAGCAAGTACAAACTTCAGCCCAGTATCTCCGAGGGGATGAGTGTATTACTTTCTTCCTCTTCACGGCCCTGGCCCTCCATCAATCTGACTAAAATATTGCAGTAAGTACTCCAAGCTGACAGAACTGAGCATGGTCTAATCCTGTAGCATGACTTTGCAGTTGAAAATCCTGCTCTTCTACAAGGTGGAGGATTTTGGAGAACGGAGCTTCAACTAAATCCTATTCATCACACAGCATCCCTCTCTACAGACCTGGCAACTCTAGCTGGTAACAGACCAGGCAAGGGCAGGACAGTGCCAGCATTGTTGGCATCTATATTTAGTTGTGGGAATGACCCCACGAAGGACATTTTTGTGTACTTCAAAGTGCTTTGGTAGCAACACATTCAGAGCAGAGTCCTCAGGTTATCGAAAACACAGTCAACCCCAATGTTATGATGGGGAGCCAAACAATCTGGAACTCGAGCCACTTTTAGTTGGCCAAATGCAAGTTCATTGGCATTTACACAGCACACTCACAATCTCTGTTCTTGGTCAGGCCACTCAAGCTTGATAGTGGAGGGTTGGGCTTCTAGCTGCCCCTTCCTCTCTTATTTGTACAAAAGGATGTCAAGCAACGGTTTCTAGCCTTAAAATAATAATAAAAAAGACATCTGACAGCTATGATTGTTCATAAGATGTATCAAGATGGGACCCAAGTTTTTAAGCAAGTGCTTGTCCTCAAAATAATGCATCTTCAGTGCATCTCCACAGATTTCACCGTAGCAATCAATAAAATGCAGTCTTTGCATTAGTAATATCAGCACTAAGAAAAGCACCAGGCAGCATCTAGATAGGACACTGTGTCCTTGTGTAAAATTCTACATTTACTCTATCCTATCAGTATGCATTACTGAGAATATGATACATGTTTAATTGGAAAGGCCAGGGATGTCAGAGCAGCGGTGCCCAAGGAGGAGAGGTAAATATTGAGCACATAAACATGGAACAAACAGCATAATATTACATTAAACAAATAATACAGCATACAAATCAACATAATAACCTGTAATGATTCAGGGATTAAAATATAGCAATAGAAAAAAGATAAATAAAAGTAATACTACTGCATAGTGTTAATAATATGATTAAAATCTGTCAAAAAATCTCAAAAAACAAGTAAATCAACTCGTCCAGTTTAGAGCCTTTCAGTCTGTTGCGTTTCAGCTCTGTAATTCTATTGGAGAGAGAGTCAACAGAGTTACTATACACAAAGTGAGCTGTATTGACTGCCAAACTGGCATAATGGAGAGCACAATGTAGAGTTATTAAGGGTGATTTAGAGTGGCTCCCTAAAGGACAAGTGGCCATTTTGATGGGATGACTCTATACAGAAGCACATAGTGTGCCTACCACTATCTGATTAGGCCCTCAAATGCCTGCCTTGGCCTAGATGAATCACCCATTCAGGCCTCGTGTCAAGTATCACTGTGCAGCTTTATGTTCTAGCCTCCGCTGCCTAACGGCAACTCTTTTAAGTATGTGTGCCACATGTGTGGGTGAGTGCTGGTCTTTGATCTAAGTAGCTGCTAAATTACCATTTTATTCTAATACATGACTGTCTTTTGTGGGTGTGCTCGTTTTGTCTGCCAGATTTGCGTCGGTGCATGATGGTGCACAGACAAATGGTAAGAATTGTAAAGCAGAGGAAGTTGTATTTCAATGCTCCTCTTAATTTTTAGTTTCTTAAAAGCTGGGCAATCTCATTTTCTGTTTCTTTTTAGGATGCTTTCTCTCTTCCTTTTAGGCATTGCACTGCCTTACTTTGTCTGACTTTCATTTACTTTCTTTCTCCCTTGGGTGAATTGCTGTCCTTTTTTAATCTAACCTTATTTAAGGCCCGATACCACCAGTGTCAGAGTTATTCTGGGCTGCCACAGCAACTAAGCCCTCCTCATCACCACTTTTAGCACCTCTCCCAACAGTTCGGTCCGCTCCCTGAATGGGACTGACGAAAAGAGAACCGACTTCACCAGAAGAGGCAGACACACCCCTATCGGTCCGCTCCAGCTTGCGGTGCTTGCGTGGCTCCGGAGGTGTGTCCTTCTGGTTGAAGACGGCGCGAATTCTCTCCACGCAGACATTGGCTGCCTCCCTCGTCTCCTTGGAGAGCTGAGATAGGCTGAGGAAGCCGTGGGGGAGGTCGTCCACCACGCACAGAGTGACAGGCTGGTCTATGTTCCGCAAACGCTTGGCAAACATCACAGAGTCATCCAGCATGGGGTCTAATGCACAAGCCTGAGAGGGGAGAGAGAGAGAGAAGAAGCAAGAGGGAGGGAAAGGGGTGGGAATGGTGAAAGCAAATTAGGATTCCCTTCACACATGTCAAGAATCTTAATTAAGGGATGAAGAAAAGGAAACCAAGCGCCCCAGTCTCTTTTGTCCCTGCTTTCTTTACATTCTCGCTGACTCACTCTAGCCACTTTAAAATCTGCACAAATTTCTTCATTTTCCTATTAAAACCCTTCTCACAAGTGAGAGCAGGCTTCAACCTCCGCCTTATCTGCCATCACACGCTGTCTCACTCTGAAACAATAATGTCTCACTCTGATACAACAATGTAAGCAGTGAGTCCTTGGTACTCTATCTCTTGACATTTTGAGGCTGCCTAGTTCTAAGGTCTCAAACCACCTTTCTGGTCCTCCCCTCTCTTCACTATCATAAGCAAACAATCCTAGTCCTGGGGCCTATACTATGAAGCGGGATTTGAGGTTAGCAAGGTAACTTCATGTTTAACCCTGGGTTTTCAGTCAACGGTGCTTTAACTTGTGCTGAATGGCTAACCTGCTCCAGAGCAGGTAATGTGGGTGAGTTTTCAGTAAATGGTGGGAACTGAAGCCATGGTTGCAATACAGACAAACACCGCCCCTTTTATGTGAACGCTCATGGCTGGATTGGGAAACCCTGGGTTGACTTACGAAGTTGATAACCAGAGTTGTGTGACTGCTTAGCCTGATTGCGATTGTTAGGGTTAGTAAAGCCAGATAATGAAATGACATCCTGGGATTGTTGGGCTTGCCTCATAGTTTAGGCCCCTGGTCTGCTCCTGCATGCTAACAATATCATATCTGCCAAGTTTAAAAGATGTTGAAGAAACATAACGGTCAGCTGTCTCACAGAGGATCATACATGCAACCAAATGCAGACAGTTGTACGGACTCAAAGGCTTGACCTATGTGTATTTAATTGTATAAATGCCCCCCTTTCCTATTTCCCTACTGCCCTACATTATCCTGCAAATTCCTCCAACAGCTGCTGCTTCTTCTTACCACTATATGCACAGGTGGCAGCCCTTTCAGCATGCTATCAGGAGCCAGCAGAGGAGAGCAGAAAGGATCCTTGACAACTGGAGAGCTCTCCACCTTCATCTCAGCCAGCTGCTCTGAGCGCAGTGGCTCAAACCCCAGGGGAAACTCCCTAGGGTGCTCCAGCTCTGATCCCTCCTCGCCAGCAGGGGGTGGTATGGCCACTGAAGACAGGTCGCTGGACATGGTGGGATCGGTATCCTTGGAGAGGAAGAAATTCACATCTTCTGGCTACATAAAAAAAAAAGAATAAAAAAAGGGAATAATTCAGGTGAGGTGAGACAGCACTGACTTGTTGAAGGAGATGGTAAAGTAAAAAAATATTTAACGAGGCAAAATTGATAAGAAATACACACACAACTCTGTTCTTGTGAATTTCTTCTAAAAACCTCAGCTGTGTGTGAGAGTCTTGGCTGAACAATCCCCATTTCAAGGAGGAAAAGCATATTTAAAATCTTACGTCACCTCTGCTTGCCCCCCCCCCCCCCAAGCCAGCCACTAATCCAGTCTGCCTGTGTGAAAATACATGTGAGGATAATCTGCAATACCTAGATAGTTCTCACACAACCAATAAGTTTTGATATTCTGTCAGCATTTTACAGCCAAATCTGTTTGAGGCACGGGTGAGATAATCTCAGCGGAGTTTGTCGAGATGATACATGCACATCACTGCAGGGTATACTGCATTGTATGACAGAGGGCCAAAATATCTCCATGCTTATAAACTGATCAACCTTTTAAAAAGGCTAGAACTGTATGCTAAATCTCCTTAATGCAAGCTGTAGGAAAGCAGAGATAATCTGATCATAAAGAGGAGGCTTGTGTGATCTCTTGCACTGCAATGGTGAAATAATAATCATCAAATTACAGACCTTTCCATAGCCACAGTATTTAATTCCCACAACAACCCCCACAAACAGCCCAGTGTTCTTTTAAGCAACAACACTTGTTGTTTAATACTGTTAAAGCTAGGGAAGGCAAAGTTGGAGAACTAGCAAGAGACGGCTAGATTTTGAAAGTATCTTACTGGGAAAATCCTCCTTGTCAAGCCACTCCCTCAAAACACATTTTAATGTGCAGTGAGTGCGTAAGCAGGTAGGTAGGCAGATAGACAGCGAGGTAGGCCTGCTTTTTACAGTTCTGAGACAGCCATAGATAGATATTTTTTTTGTGCCAGAGCATTTGATTTATTAACTGCTGTTGGGGTGTAAAGAGAATTTCAACAAATACAACAACAACGACAAAAAATGCTTGCGAAATAAATTGCCTACCCTAGCTTTTAACTTCTTATGGATAAGAGCATAAACTGAGAGCATGCTAATCTCAGTGTAAACATGTTCAAGCGTGACATACAGTGCACTCAGAGAGCAGCGGTGGACTCTGGGAAGAACAATTGCTATGGGATCCCAAGTCCTGGCAAGTCTGGCTCTTCACAGATAATTTCCTGGTGGGAAACTCTGAGGGATCGGAGGGTACAGGGGGGTCGGCGTGAGGAGACGAGATGGACGCCTCTGAAATGCTCTTCCTCACTGTATCTAAGAAATGAGATTGAGAAAGGGGCAAAGAGTGACGAATGACACACTTTGCAAAACAAAATTCTAAATGTTTGAGACAGATAACGATTAATCACACAAAGTACAGTATATGGGGTATAAGGGATACAGACAGGCCACTCAAATTTACATGGGTTCAATATCAGCTGGAGGACACAGGAAAAAAAATACACCAATAGTAGTACACAACCACTTTCACTTAATTCCACAGTTTCCACTTATCATATGTCCTCTGGTTGACAGCCAACTGTTAAAAGCCTAAAATGCAAATTGGGATATATCAGGAAGAGAGGAGAAGTGGGTGGAGGAAATTCAAATAGTGCTGTCATGGCGATATCATCCGCCCGCCCCGAGCCGTCAAAACACAGCTATAAGAGTCATCATGGCTGGTCTCTTCACAAAGCGCTTTCGATCTCCCATCTTTTTAATAATGAACCATCTTAGCACCATGATGGCCTTTTAATAATGCACACCCACCAATGACACTCTCATTAGTTTGGGATTGCAGCTGTGGGGGTGTCACCTAGCTAAGGGGACACCAGGGAAATTACGATTCGCCACCAGATTTACAGTGGCTACAATTAACAATTACTGTCGAAGCCCTGCTGCTCTAAAGAGGTGAATTGATATGAATGGGGCTACAGGAGTGTTACGCAACAGGGTGGAATAAGGCAATAATTGGTCATCTGAATGCTGAATAAAGGGGATCCATGTCAATAATCTCCTCCATATGGGATGTAAACAAACTTTGGACCAGTTGATGTTGTTGCACTCATAACACTTAAATAAATTGGCTTACTGAACACACTGAAAACGTGGGCGGTACATACACACATGCGCACACACGTACCTTCAGCAAATAGATGTGATCAAAGACATGAGCAGAATGCACCTATAATAAAAAAAACTTTGAAGACAATAGGCTGCCAAAAAACACAACCACATCCATGCCACCCACATCTCGTCTAATGTTCCAACCTGACCGTGCATATGCACGCACAAACACACCCATACACACAGTGATAGTTGCTGGTATACCAGTGGCTGCTGGTGGTGCTACTGCAGGAGCACTGGGGTAGGCGGAGGTTCTGTTGGGATCCAGCAGAGAGTGGATCCAGTTGGAGGCTCCTTGTCGGAAATCTCTTAGCAGCAGGGCTGTGTCTCTCCTCACCAGACTCAGTGTGCTCACTTTCTCTACCCGCGTCTCTGTCTGCGGCGCGTTGCCTGGAGAAGGAGATGCGGAGGACAGGTTAGTATGGAAAGATGGATGTACAAGAGAGATGAACGTGTTTTTGTTATTCTTGAAGAAGCACGGATGAGTAACAACACAATAATATACAGATTAAAGAAAACCACCGACAGACTGGGTTCAATACAACTACAAATAGTAATACATAGTGATGACAGTAGGAGCGAATAGAAAATGATAAGTGTTTTAGTGTTGCCCTCTTCCTCTTCTACATTAATTAATGAAACATATGAAAAACAATCCATATGCTAATAAGTTTAGTTGTTGTTAGTCAAGGTTTTCCAGACATGATGCAACACGGCTATACTTTCCACTGGAGCAAGTATTTTGGAAAATTAGTATTTTCGTAATGTTTCTTCAGTCTATTGTTAAACATACCACTGAAAGCTTATTTGTAATCGATAAAGATTTATGATTACAATTGTTGTATTATGCACTCTGTGTCCTACATAAAGGAATATAGACAGTGAGATCCAAGATGAGAGCAAAAAGAGTTTTATGATTAATATAAACATTATTACTGTTATAAGACTAAAAGATGGGCTGTGCAGACATTAGCTGAATAATTGATTAGTCGACACAAAATCTATAAAAAATTGTGATAATCAGTTGTTCTAGCTGTTGTCAAGGCTGCTTTCTTTTTTTATCAAATTGAATACTGATACTTAGCTGCTGGTCAGACTTGTTTGAAAACATCACTTTGTGCTTTTTTTTTTTTTTTTTTTAAATAGTGAATATCGTTATGTTAGTTGATCAAATGAAATTATGATAAGGAAAATAACTGTTATAGCCTTGAAAGAAAAAAAAACATCTTTACCTAATAAGTTGATAATTTATGCCACACAAGCAGTTGTCAGCATCATTACTCTGAACAAACCTACAACTACAGTCCAGACCATTTTATTAAGAGTTGAGTATGAATGATGCGAAGCAGCAGACGGCAGAGAAAATCAATCTAAACTAAATTCACAACTTCACACCAAAAAAACCAGACACTCATTCCTACCTGCGTAGGCGCTGAGACACTTTGAGAGCACACTGAGCGGCAGCAGGGGATCCATAAGTGTTAGCAGACGGGAGGGTGATGCGTAGGCGGTCAGCAGGGTAGCCGGGTAGGCTGCCACAATGCCATCTGGCATTCGCACACCAAAGGCAGCAGCGCGCATCGATGTAGTCACACTCAAGTTGCCTCCCGCGCTGTCACCAGCCAGACACACTTTCTCCCCAGTCCAACCTGGAGAGACAAAAATAGGACAGTGTTGATAGAGGTGAAGGAAAAGAGGGGGAAAAAAAAAAAAAAAATCAGTGGGGGAACATAGGGAAGTGGAACACAAAATAAAAAGGAGATACGAAAAAAATAAATCCACTGAGGTAGCAAAAAGCAGTGTGTGACAAGCATCAAGTAACAGTATCCATTGCAGTGCAGTGATGCACTGCTGTATATGTGGCTGCTGTGACTGTCTGCCTCATGGCCGTGATATTGTCTTCTTGTACTACAACACTAGCATATTACACTGCAATCACTGTTAATTTGACACAGTGTGCTTCAGCAGTCGGATGAAACCCAAACCGACCAGATGTCTTTTGTTTTCTGCCTGAATACTGAGCATTACAATTTGTGTGATATTGCCCAACAACGGGTACAGTGCAAGACATCGTGCTGCAGCATAATTACTTTCAAAGTGATGAATGAATCCCTTTGAGAGGTACAGGGAACGTAGCTCACCTACGTTCCCTGACCTACGTTCCCTGGACTTACTGAAGCAGTCTTCAGGACACTTTCACTCTGAAAGGAGTGAGTTTTACCCCTTGTTGTTGTGCCTGCTTGTTAATTCTAATAAACCACATTCTTTTACCTGCCTACTGTTTATATAATTTCACCTGTATATACATTTTCCATGACATTGAAAAGTAAACAGAAAAAGTACAAAGGAGTGAAAAAGCCAGCACTCCGCTATAAATAATGCTGTGTGGTGTGTGTGTACCTAGTAAGTGGTGGTTTCTCAGAGCCCAGCAGTAAGCGTAGAAACACTCCTCCAGGGCTCTTGGGAAGGGAGCTTCAGGGGCCAGAGAATAGTCTACTGACAGGATGGGGACACCAAGGTCCTGGGACCAGCTCTTTAGATAGGGCTGCACATGACAGAAGACAGGGGTATGGAGGGGGTGAATTTATGAATGGAAAAACCCTCAGTTTCACATTGAATATATTATAGGTTGTTAAATTTATGAGAAACAACAGCAGCCACAATAAAACACAGAGGCAGGGAGACAGAGAGATTAAAAAAATGTGTTGAAAGGGATGCGTGGGGGTGAACATTAAGGATAAAAAGTTATGAAAATGATGTGTCCTTCTGATGTCATCTGTCTGCTTTCTGGCTTACTGTCTAGACAAAGGGAGAATGAGCATTGCCCTCACATTCACCTCCATTTCCTTTCTTTTCATACAGTAATAGCAAAGGTGCCCACATGTCCTAGTTTGCTGGGTATAAAAGGAAAAAGACCAAGATAATGGGACAGTGTGGATTTACAGGGATTGTCTACAAAAAACAAACTCAGAATACTCCTAGAATACTGAGTTTTTCTCTTTTTCTAGTTCCTATCAGGTTAAGTTATGGCAACTTAAGGCAAGTACTTTACTTCACAACTGCAATGCGGTGACCTTGAAATGGGAGAGACATCAAAACTTGTCATGCCAAAATATTCTTTCCACAAAGCATTTGTCATGTCCTCCTCCTGTTTATCTTCTCCCAACACGTTTTAGACTAGCTATGACAGGGCTGGCACTGAAAGAGACAGCTCTCCATTCACAATGCTAGGAAAAGCATGTGTGCGTGTGTGCGTGCGCGCACACTTGCATGTATGTCACTTCACCGACCAGTGATTCAGTATGAAAAAAAAAAACAGTAAGCAGCAAAAGTAGCAGCTCCAGCAGTCAGGTGTCTTAACGCCTTCCCTGTCACAATAAATCTTAAGAGTGAGAGCGCTGACAAGTGAGTGTGCATGCAGTTCAAACGCTGTTCAGGTCAGCGTGGGTTTGGACAAATCAGAGGTGTGTTTGTGTGTTTGCAACTGTGTGTGAACAACAGCCATTGCTGACAGGGTACAATGAGTGTCAACATATGCTAGAGTCCGTGTGCAGGTCTGTCAGTCAGACAGTTCATCATCTGCCTGCAAAAAAAAGGAGCAGAGAACTCACAACAAATGGCCCACTGGGCAGAGAAGAGGTACGTGTGTGTGTTTGTGTGTTTTTGATGGGCTGGGACCAAGGCTGGTTAATTTTACATGACTCAGGAAACTCTTTTCGTACACAAAAAAAAAAAATGCCCACACGTATCAATTCATAAGGTCCCAGAACTGGTCTCAAAGCAGGAATTAATGGGAGATGCAGTCCCACTCAATTTTAGACAGACAGAGCAGTTAATCTGCAAGCTTATACCTCTACTGGCAAAACATTTTGTGTGTGTGTGTGTGTGTGTGTGTGTGTGTGTGTGTGTGTGTGTGTGTGTGTGTGTGTGTGTGTGTGTGTGTGTGTGTGTGTGTGTGTTCATGTGATCTTTGCATCATTGGGCACTGAAAGCACCAAAGGCCCCTGCCACTGAAGTACAGACACTTAAGTGAACAAAACAGATTTTTTGAGATATTCGAAAGATTCAGGGAGGATATAATAATAAAAAAGAAGAGCCCAGAAGAAGGAGAGAAGGATAGTCTGACACGTCTTCCATTAGTGCCCGGGGTAATCTTTCTCTGCGGGGTTGTACAGTTCTCCGCTAATTCAACATGACAGCCCTGTTCACCCCCTTCTCTGATTGCTCCCTCACATCCTCTGGTTACTACTCAGCTGCAGATCAAGGATGCCCATGTCCTTGGCGATTTCACAGAGCCCTGTCTTGCAGTTGCTATAAGTAGCCTGAAGCCACATAAAGACTGCACACAGCTACATATGACCAGATCAGTGTACAATGAACAGGGAGAGGTGGGATCACAAAGCTTGTTTAAATAAGCTTTGACATTATGATGAACTAAGCAGGTTGAATGCTTAGTTCATCATAAGGTTGCTTCATTTCATGTACTGTCACTTGTAAACTTAAAATAAAAGAGCAGATTTTCCAGAGCACTGACAAGAAAGATGTGTGTGTGCGCGCTGGTGTCGTGTCTATTTTTCTATGACAGTGATCTAGAAATTAAATCTAGGACACTGGCTCCTCCTCTCTAAGAAAAGATTCTGCTTTGTGTGCATCTTATCAGTAAAGAAGGCATGGAGGGAGGGCTAAGTGTCTCGATTAAGTTTTCAGGGATTAATTACAAAATAAATATCTTAACGTCTCATTACGTGCCATACGATTAGCATAGGAAGGGACTGACAGGTAGCCCCTCTGCTTCTACGCTGTCAACTAGTGTCCTTCTCCTCAACACTTTAATTAGCTGGGGTTCAATTACAATTAGTTTGAGAAAACACAGCCAGAAGTTGATGCATTGAAGGGATGAGAAGGTGAACTTGACCGCTGTGGCGATACTGGCTCAAATCCTGGAAAAACATCATCTGAGCCAGGCGTCTAATGGTGGAGGTGTAGTGTTGTCAGTAGGGCTGGGCGATATGGCCCAACATGTTATCATGATAAAAAATTTCATATAATTTGATATCGATAATTATCACAATAAATGCCAAATCATTATTTGGCTCAAGTTTAAAGGTTCAGTGTGTAATATTTCTGAGGCTCTATCGACAGAAATGCTATATAAAGATCCATTACTATGTTTTCAGCGCTGTGTAAAGACCTTACATAATAAACCATTATGTTGAATATGTACGTTAGAAGAAGATGATGTAGGAATAATATACTGCAGGGGTCGGCAAATAAGTTTTGCATTGGAGCAATATTTTCAACCATTAGATGATGTATGAGAATGTAAGTCATAATATTGACTTGCATTAATATGTTGTTCAGTTAGCTCAGTCACTAAGGACTTGCAGGACTTGTAACCCAACGGTTGAGTCTTCAGTCCCTCCTCAGGGTAACTCCCCCCCCCTCTTCAACAAATGGATTCTGCAGTGAATGTTTCTCACATCACAGCATCTACTGCACTGTTTTTGTTTCGGTGTTTGATCCACATCCATCATCCTACGGACGGTTTTTCATATACCCCAATATCTCCAGGCAGAGAACATTTTAGGGAATCCCGTTTTCTGATGGCTCTTTCAGAGGTATGTCAAGCAGGCTACAGACTCTTTTAATGTCGTTCAGAATTTTTCAAAGTAAAAGCTTAGTTCAACTCCATATAAAGTATTAGAGTAAACAAGCTTCTTGCACTTTTATTTTGTAGGAAAAACCATTAAAGAGGAAGTGATTATGTGAGTAACCGTTGCTGCCATGCTGATCTATTTCAGCACCGCTATCACAGCATAGATTTTTTTTTACTAGGCCTATTTAAAATTATATTTGATTGCAGAGCGCCATAGCGTGCAATCAAATACAATTTTAACAACATCCAACAACATCCTCTTGCTCGTCCCTCTCGCTCTCTCCCTCTCCCTCATAAACACAGCTGCTCGCTGTCAATGTCAGACACCTAGCTTAAAAAAAAAAAAAGTTATTAGCAAGCATGTAAGGAGCCCAGCTAATAAGGAGAGCTAAGTTAATGTTAGAAAACACCGCGGGCCAGATATTATTGTCAATGTTTTAACTTAATTTGTGTGGTTTATAATGTGGTGTAGAAACAATGACAATGATTCACACTCTTGGCTTACATTTTCCATGTTGTCTGTCAGTGGACAAGTCACAACAACATGGTTTTACTGAATAACTAAACTAATAACTAAATATAATTTCTTAATAAATATACCTGAAGAAACCTCATTTCTTACTGGTCACTCTCTGCGGTCTCAGAAGAGACACCTTGTGCGCTGTGTCAGCCACCGTAGCTGTCCTACGCTCTTTGAAAGGTTAGGGGGCAGTGGTAGACTGGACATATGGTTGCAATTCACAACCTTCACCACTAGATGCCACTAAATCTTACACACTGAATCTTTAAAGGCTGACTTTTGTTCCTGAGTGAAAGTGTAATTGTGGTTTTAAACTATTTTTTATGGTCAGACATGACCAACACTTGATGCCAAACAGTGAACCACTTAACAAATCTGAGGTAGAACATTCAAAGCAATTATGATAAAATCTTTTTTCAGTCCCTTTTCCTCAACAAAATAAATATCTTAATAGAAAAAGTGCTAATCTGTCCGTGATTCAAATGAATTAAATCAAACATTTATTGAACATTTATTATATTGTTAATGAGGAAAATTATCATTATTGTTTTATTGCCAAGCTCTAATTGTCAATACTTGGGATATGTAGGTAAAACATAACATATTATACTAACTTTTTCTGCATTTTTGACCATTTATGTCCTGAAAAAGAAAGAAACTACTGGTGTACTGAGCAACAGATGTCGAACAAGTCAGCCAAGGAAAACAACAGTAGTGGATGACAGAAATATTGAGAGAGCTGTGAAGAAAACCCCCAAAACATCAGTAAGTGACATCACCAATGACCTCCACAGTGCAGGGGTGAAGGTATCACAATCCACTGTTCGAAGAAGACTCAGAGAGCAGAAATATAGAGGCCACACCACAAGATGCAAACCACTCATCAGCAGGAAGAATCAGAAGGCTAGACTGAAATTTGCAAAGAAGTACAGAAATGAGCCGCAGAAGTTCTGTACCACAATCTTATGGACTGATGAGACCAAGATTAATCTCTACCAAAGTGATGGAAAGGCCAAAGTGTGGAGAAAGAAAGGAACTGCTTATGATCTGAAGCATACAAGCTCAATTGTGAAGCATGGTGGAGGTAATGTCATGGCTTGGGCGTGCATGGCTGCTTCTGGAACACACTCATTAATATTTATTGATGATGTAACTGATGATAGTAGCAGCAGAATGAATTCAGAAGTGGACAGAAACATTTTGTCTGCCAATTTACGGAGAAATGCATCGAAGCTAATCGGGAGGAAGTTTATTATGCAGCAGGACAATGACCCAAAGCACACTGCCAACAAAACAAAGGACTTCATCAGGGGGAAAAGTGGAAGGTTTTAGACTGGCCAAGTCAATCACCTGACCTTAACCAAGTAGAGCTGCATTTCACCTCTTTAAGAGGAGACTGAAGTGAGAAACACCACAAAACAAACAAGAACTGAAAGAAGCTACGGTAAAAGCCTGGAATAGCATCACAAATGAAGAATGCAACAGTTTGGTGATGTCGATGGGTCGCAGGCTTGAGGTAGTTATTGCAAGCAAAGGTTTATGGCACAAAATATCAAATGTTATTTACTTTAAGATTATTTGTTCCATTACTTTTGCTCACCTAAGAATGCTGTGGTCTAATACAAACAGTGATATGTCAGTTGTTGATGTGAATACTGGGAAATGAGAGCTGAATTTCTGAACTATTGTCACATACTCATCTTTTGATCCTAAACCCAAATGTCTTCAGTGAACAACAAAGGAATTTGCCTTACCGTTCCAATACTTTTGGAGGGGACTGTAGGTCACATACAGACATGAGTCAAAATACTATATGACAAACAATTGTCTTTTGGATTCAGCTTTTCTTGCAAAATATAACTAATCACATTGCTTTTCTGGTCAGAGTAGGAAAAACTTCAGTTGGAGAGCACCATCTCACCTCATGGGACTTGGAGGTCTGGGCCACAAAGCCTCCCCCATGGAAGTGGATTAGGAGGCAGGGAGACGAAGGGAGGCACCTCGTCTTCAGCCCCAGCGATAGTGAGATGGCTCCCCCCTCAGAGCGGGAGAGAGATAGCAGAGCCTCGCTGTCCTGGAGAGAGTGAGACAGACAGGTGGACAAAAAGGAATGAATGATCAAAAGGAGAGAAAAGTTCACAGACAAATAATCACGATCAGCTGTTTTTGTCTAACAGCTCAAAAAAAATTGTTTAAATGACATGATGTAATGAGAGGTTTGCATCACTCCAATAGCTGTCCACAGACTATACATTGCAAACAAAGCCTTGTTTTCATTGTAAATATATTTTCTTGCCAATGTTTGCAACAGGGTTCCATTGAGAGAGGGATTAACTAGCTGTTCTGCAGCAGCTTGCTGCCAGCCTTTCCTGCGCCTGCATGAACGCACACTAATTCCCATTCATTAACAGAAACATGGTGGGGGTAGGGGGGGGGAGTGCTGAGAGGGAGGGTTTCCGCTGATGCAGGCTTGTATTTTGTGACATTAAAAAGGACAATGTTGTTTTGTTGGAGGGTGATTAATGGCTGAAAGTGTTTGTTGATAGCATGTCTGGTTAGATGCCAGGCTACAAAGAAAGGAGGAAAACAAGCTCGGATGGAGAGATTGAGTCTCCTGAGAGAATTAGGAGGGGAAGGCAGAGTAGAAAAGGTGACAGTGATACCTATGACAGAGAAATGGAGAGAGAGATAATGAAGGGGATTAAGTCTATGATGATGAGTCGAAGCTGTCGTTTACTCAAGCAGTTGAGAGAAATAGCAGATATGGTATTACATATTGTTAGAATATTTTAAGAATTTGTATGACCGGTATATGCAAGGTGGTATAAAAAGAGCCAGTGGAGAAAAAACATCAAAAACTAGGTTAAATAATAAACACTAATACTCAGACAGACTACAAGGATGTAGCGTGAGACAAGTAAACACCAAAAATAAGATCTAGTCTAGTTTCGCATTACGTTTGAGATTTTGAAGCTTTTATTTTGCATCCATTGTGCCACTATGGTATAAACAGAACAAGGATGCAAGTACCTGTCCTTCACGTAAGTCATAAGAGATGAGCCTCATCTGAACAGGTGCGGTGCCGATGTGCGCTGATGGTGGAGCTATAGTTACAGATGTCCTGTGGTTGGCCGCCAGGGGAAGGTCAAAGGCCACGGAGGGTACGGAAAGAGCCCGGTTCACCTTAACTTGAGTGGATGTCATACTGGCAAGACTCTGGAGGATGAGAGGTGATGGAGAAAAAGAGAGAAAGAGATTGGCATAGAGAGAGCAAGAATTGAGACAGAAAGGCATAGAGAGAAGAGTGCAAGTTACAGAGCGAGTCAGGTCACTGGAGAGAAAGAGAAACTGGATGAATAAATCATGAACCCCATTGAATAAATCGAATTCCACTCTATTATTACTAGCGGCCTGTAGGCCAAAATGCATAATGATAGAAAGGTACTTTTACCAAAGGAAAGTAAAATATCACTGATACAGTTTTAAAATTAAAAACAGGACAGCACATTTATCTGTGCGCATGGGTTAGTGGTGACAACATGGGTAGATTACAGATGTCAGGAGTGTTTGTGTGTGTGTGTGTGTGTGTGTGTGTGTGTGTGTGTGTGTGTGTGTGTGTGTGGTGTGTGTGTGTGTATAAAATGAAGCATTCACAGTCTACTCACCGACAGGACTTCAGTCTCAGTGATGTTCCAGAAGGCCTTCCAGAAATGGACGTCCAGGTTCTGGGTGATGCGTTCAAATTCTGCCCCCCTTAATTCTGGGTCAATGGCGTACTTCCCTGAAGTAAAGAAAGAGCTGGCTGCTACACCTGTGGAGAGGAGGAAGGACGACACAATGAGGAGGGTATAATAATGCGAAGGAGACACCAGAGATGGGGAAATGCAAGAAAAGGAAGGAAAAGAAGAACATGTATGGTTGAGGAAGAAGTGTAAATGGAGTAGACAAGTTATTGACACACAAAAGACAAAAGCTCAGGAATGAAAACAGTTATTTCATAAAGACAGAAACAGTAGGAAGGAGGACAGGAATGAGGGAATATTAAAATTGAAGTAAGAGACTGGAACCTAGCACATAAAACAACACTAGAAAAGGCAAAAGAAGGGAGTTGGAAAGAAAAAAGGGGAAGAATGAAATAGAGGGCTAACCTCTATTTCGTTCTTCACCTTTTTTCTTTCACAGCAAACCTCAGAGATGTGGCTACAATTGAACGTCAAACTCAGGGTGAATTGGCTTTTATGTACTCACAGCACTATAATCTTATTGCCACACAGCTGTTTCATGTGTACTGTGCTAGTGCTATGTTGAAAAAGAAGCATTTCATTATATTGCATTCCATTTCCACAGTGAATTCAATGTTCTGCAAGAAGTCAGGGATAGACAGTTAAGAAAAGGGGAAGTAACTGCATTTTCAGATAATATTACTACCTCAGACTTAAATCTCTAAACCAAATAACAGACACATGACAGCTAATTCAGCTAACAGTGCTGTGTGTAGAACCATTTAAGATGATAGGAGCTGTAGGACAGAAGCAACTTCTTTATATTGGCTTATAGCCTCGCTACAGAGGACTATGATGAAGGGGTCCTAGTACACTCACCATATGGTGCAATACCTCCTGCCTCCACTGTGGTGCAGCACAGAGCACAAAAAACCACAAGCGTCAAACAGTTTTTTGGAATGTTAAATATTTACATATTTAGGAGTTGTGCTTGTGTGCAATGTGAAAATGTGTATATGATGGTGCATGTTCTTCTATCTCTGCCTCTGTACATAACTGTGTGCATGTTCAAAACATTCTGAAATATGGAAGCACACCAGCTAGCCCTCGAGATTCCAGAGGATGAAAGAGCATCTACAATCCAAACACACAACATCAAAAGGTACACAGTCAGGGGCCAAGGAGCAATGTAGAAGACACGTGGGGATGAGTACAATCTATGAATGAGAATCAAGTGGCTGGATGATGAGAGGGCACAGCTGCAGACAAGACGATGCTGACCTATTCCTGACTGATGCCGTTTGTAGTTTTCTCCAAAGGCCACAAGGCCGATAGCGATGGTCTGGAGACAGGGCCGAATGCCTGGAGTGAACTGGAGGGCGGAGGGAGGAAAGGACAAAAACAAGAGACAGGCTTCATATCCATTATCCCTGGTCCATTTAAAACAAGAAATAAACTACAATTAAAACTGCAACCATTCAACTAGAGAAAGTGCAACATAGATGATAGATATCAGAATAGCAAATGAGTCTTAGCCATTATAAATTGATGCAGACAGTCATCATTTTTTCCCTTTAGTTTGATTTTGCTCTCTGTCCGCTGAGGGTTCAGCCTCTCTAATGAAGCTCAACTAAGAACAGAGACTATGGCTGTAAAAAGGAGCATTCTCTCTGCCCACCCAAACCCTTTACTTGCTTTATTTAATCTGCAGAGTTGAGCAGCAGGAACAGTTTGTAGCTCTGTATTTCTTTCCTGGCTTTTACATACTACATTTCTCACTGCTATTGCTCTCTTTTCATAGTCAGTGCCTCTAGTCGGAGATATCAGTAGTTTGATTGATAGGCTATGGGAGACTTATGTGGGGAGCTTATTCTGTACATGATATGTCCTAATTTAATAACAAATATAAAGAAATGTAGCTAGAAGCTGTAAAATGTAACATGGACAGGAACAAGTAAGAGTACCTTTGCCAGAAGTGTAGATGTGCGTACATTCAGTTGATTGTATGTGTCGAGTGAGGATTGGTGCGTTTGAGGTTGTTTTTTTAATTACCTTTTCTCTGTATTGCAGTGAGATGTTTTATTGTAGGACATCAATATCCTTCTAACACCCTGATTACCTACAACAGGTATTTCCCATTCTTTCTTCCGGTGCAGCTACTTCTAACCCTACCCTTTCTTCACTTTTCCTATATTTTATCTTTCGCACTGCTTATACCTGTGCCACGCAGCTCATCTCACCTGAAAGCCAAGGCATCGGCCATAGAAGCACCCCTTGTGCATGGATGAGTATTCGCGGACAAAGCTCTCGCTGAGGCCATTTTCATCCTGGAAAAAAAGGTTGCCATGGCTGTTGTCATGAAGCATGCGCTGAGCCAGATAGAGCAGGGCGCGCAACTGGCACAGAGCGCTGCAGTAGGCCTCCATCTCCCCCGCATTGTGTGCTACTCGAAAGAAGATGCTGCGACGGTTGGCAGTGATGTAGCGCCCCTTCTGGATGATGTGAAGAAGACAGCAGCGTACCACCTAGAAAAGTAAAAGGAATGTCTCAAGAAAAGTTTTGGGGGAAATAGATGTGTCTTATTTCAAATTGTGATATCTACCACGCCACCTTCTCCATACACCATATTAAAATCAGCGTACCTGCCTAAAAAGCAAGGTCTATTAAATTAATTTTTTTTGGGGTAATTACAGATGTTTTACAAAATGATGTGTGAACTTTGGGCTATTTCTACTATAAAAAAAATGGTAGAAATAGCATTTTGCGTTATAACAAATCAATTTATTTTTCCTATAATTGTGCAATCATTAAAAGGTACATGTCTTTTCGGTATGCTTAAATTGTAATTGAAATTTGCGTGGTAAGCTGAAGGGGGGAAAGCAATGAATTGTAGCATTTCTGAATGCTAACATGTGAAAAGCTTGCTGCTTCACTGGGGTGTTACAGATTAGTTGGAGTAGCACTGTGGGAACAAGACGGATTATAAATGTGGAAATCGAGAGGCTAGAAAACAGAGCAGCATTAAAGTGTTCCTCTGCTAGACTCATTCAGTTGTGGTGGGCTGCAGCCACTGAAGGTCATGAAGTTTCATCAATAACTGTGGGAGATAAAGTACAGTGGGTATAGTAGGCGTAGATAATCTGCAGCTGGAGGAATTTATCTAACCTGATTTGCAACATAAAATCAATCTGTAAAACAAATGGACTGACCTTGAAACAAAGCAATTTCAAGGCAAAGAGGGGCTGGTGAGCAGTTTCTCACAGTGTGGAGAGAATATTGATAAGAATGTATTACGGTAGGTGGGCTTATTATTCTCCAAGCTGCACTGGGTTGAAAGGAGAACACGGACACAGATCTATGACTTCACTCATATACAAAGACTTCAAAACATCACACAGCCTACCTTGACCAGTGAGCGATAGCCATTAGCAGGTATGTGTGGGTCAAAGTCAAAATGATGGTAAACTGAAGCAAAGCCGGAAATAACAGGCTCAAGACCACGGGCGTGTTCCTTGATCAACTTCATGGCATCCACCAACCGCCGCGCAGCATCACCCTGTGGCCCCTTTGCTCCTCCTGAATAGAAAGTGGCATTCTCCTCGCACACGCTGTACACGGCCGCAAACACTGCCTTGGTGTCCATCACTAGGAGCAGCGAGACAGAGAAACAAGAAACAGAAATCAGTTGTATGTAGGCAACGGTGCTTGTGCATACTAATATTTCCAACAATTATTAATGTAATTTGTTCTGTATTCTAGTGGGGAAATTCTCTTTTCATTAGGCAGATGATAAATGACATACAGGCGTATATCCTAATACCAATCAGTGATCTCCATATTAATTGTGCCACCTAGCTGACCCCAGTGCATACTTCATTTGTAAAGAAAAAAATATTGTACCATTATTTTCTGTAGTTGTTAAAACTTGACTGTCTGCTGGTGTCTGGTCCTGCAAGAATAAAAAGAAGCACCCTGATTCCTATTCTGCGTCGGCCCACTCTTGTTATCAGCATGTAGACACTGTACCAGGTGAGGTATCATTGGATATATCCTACATAATGTTCTCTTACTCGTATTAACTAATACCCCATAGTTTGGCGCATAGGAGCCCATTGATTGAAACGTGTTAAGGAGCCTTAAAATTAAATGATGTAAATCCAGGCTAAGCAGCCATAATCCACCGAGATCTGGGCAGACATGCGTTGAACAGGAGGAGAAGGCAGAGGCCCTTTGCTAACGTCATGCTGCTGGGAACAAACGCAGATTAGTCAGATACTGAAAACAACACATAAACACACTCACATAAGAGTCCCAAAGGGAGGTATACAGCGGACACCACACAGCTGAGTGTGTTTATCAAGCGTGCCCATGTCCCTGCCCTAATGCAGCATAACAAAGATCCAGCGCTATGTCCCTGTTGGATTCCCACTGTTGGTCTGTGCACTTCTCCAAAGTCACCTGAGAACAGTTTCCACAACACCTAAGTCTGGGAACTAGCTGGTACTTCATGTATAAGGTGACTGGCATGCTGAGAGACAGGGGAAAGAGGAGACGGCACTCTGGACACACAGAGAATAAAACAAAAGGAACAGAGCCAGCAGTGCTTCCCTGACAGATAGAATAATTTCTTTGTAACGGATGGGTGTTAACCAGTTACCTTGCAGGACTGAAGCACATTTAGCGGTTACAAATAATGATGAGTTCAAAATTACTCTTCAAGAAAGACTACGCTGTATTAAATCATCTTTATTTAAATCATGTATACCGAATTAACATCCCAAAAGACATCGGCCGCCCCTGGAATTGCCACAAACCCATCCTCAAACTTTTGCAATTAAAATTTCACCAAAGGCTAGTGCAATAAAGCAATCCAGAAAAATAATTCCTCACAGATCCCCGAAGCAACATTGTGGGATGTGGCGCGGAGGTTGCCTATGCATGTTATAATGTGAAATATTGTTTTAAGGGTCAAAGAAAAAAATGGAGTCCTCATTGCACAATTATTCTGCTATTCCCTGCCATTCAGGAGGAGTAATGGGACAGGCGATTTCAGTTTGCAGGGAGGAATCGCAACCCTCTGACATCTGGGAAGAGACATTTATCAGCTGGATGACTTCTAGCACACACATACACTGCATGAAACATCTCTTCAGCCTTCTCTTTTTCTTGTCTTCTTCTTTGCCTCTCCTTTCTTTTTCAGGGAGAGCATGACGGCCCTCTATAGGCAAATTTTTTACATATTGGATGCCAAGTTTAGCAAGGGATAATCGCATCCTGTCACAAAGATTTCCTCCAAAATGTTTTGGACATGACTAAACTTAACACTGTCCACTTTGGCATTTAGCGCTTTGCTTACTGGCTTAGATTATGCTAAAAATGAATGGGACATATAACCTTACCCTATCGGCTTCTTCCATCCAGCACTGAAAAACATACCTCATCTGAATACACCCAACTTCAAATGCAAATGTTACAGAGCTGGGCCTTGTGACATTCCAGATATCAATGACCTATCAGAAATATAAAAATACACTTATATATATCCCCCATTTGTTTATGCCACAAGCCAAATTGTTATAATTATCTGCAAAGCAGAAACCCTATGTGTAAACTGTGTTTAATGTTACCATCAAGCCCATGGTGAATGTTCCATTGAATTTAGGAGATATTTGTTGGCCCCTGGGGTTTAGAGATAGACTGAAACAAATCTGCAGAGCCAAATGAGCAGACTACATGGAGCAGCACTGCAGAGGGTATCTGTTTTTCATTACAATATCATGTTCTATGTATTCCAGCTAAGCTTAATAACGTAGCTAGGGGCCTAATTTCACATCGATTCAATGTGAAAGGAATTCCTTCCATGACTACAAGGGAAACTCCACAATAAAACAAAATCTGCATTGTGCTACTGATATTAGACAGTGAGGTTATGATCTACAAATATAGCCAACTGTCTTAAACTGCCTCTGAGCATCAAGACTTAAATTTGTGATCTCTGGGGACACTTTTTTCCATTTTATTAATTGACATCAACACCCTGGGCTGGGCTCAATTATTTTTTCCACATCCAAATTACATTTCTTGGAATTCAGAGCTTATAACTGTAAAAATTTACAAAAAAATTACATTGTAATTGTATTTCCTTAATTTAATGTCTTTGGAAGAACTTTAGGATTTGTCACTGCATGACAACATCCCTATAGTTTGTATTTCAGCAGTTCACCTTAGAGAGACTTCCCAACAAAACAGAGCTGCACAGGATTATGGTGAATAATGAGAATTACATTTTTGGGTGGATGTTATCTTTCCTCAAGTCTCAAAGGTTGCAGAGGTGGGGCAGAAGAGAAGGATCAGGGAGTCAGAAAACATGAGTAAATTTGACACACACACACATATGTAATTCTTGGAGTGTTGTTCCATGTTAGGATTTGGATAAGAACAAGCGGAGTCTGCAACAATTGCAAATTTTCTGAACCTGACAACATCGGAAACAGTTACTTCATGTGAAACAACTCATTACATCAGCAGAAAACTGGAAACACCAGTTGTCAAGAGATGCACACAAAGAACATCTGAAAATACACTATCACAACCACAATCAGCAGTGTGGCCTTAGGTGAACACAAGCAGTCTCCAGAATGCCGAGCTGCAGGACCAGTTGAAGCAGTCAAACCAGTCTGGGCGAGGAGCCAAAATTAAAATTACGTTTCTTAATTACAGCAGGGGATACGACTCTCTCAACTGGGCAAGCCAATAGGCCGACTGAGTAAGCTAGGCGTGAACTTTACGCACACCTGGTTCAGAATAAGCTGCTCTAAGACTTGCTTAATGATAATGAAGTCAGCGCACATTACACCCCACGATAACTGCAGGGAGTATATCCTATGCAAATACAACGCAAATGAACACAGTTATGTGCACCAGTACAACCTTACTGAGAGCTCACTCAAAACGTGCCATGGCCCAGTGAAGACTTTATCTGACATAATGCCTCAAACTGAGAAACAATTAAGCTGCCACTACACTAACGCCAGGATAGCTGTCAATCTATCATCTATGGGAGTCACTAGAGGAAAAACATGACTCACCTGCTTGCTTTATCGCTTCCGCCTTTGGTGCATCAGCAAATATTCTACATATCTAAGATACTCTAGCTATGTCAGTAACAATGTTAACTATGTTTCAGCATTATCACATTCTGTGTTACTGACACTTGTGGCCACTCTAAGCCCACTGCAGCCATTAAGTTGCACCTGTTCTCTCCACATTAAAGATGGATGAGAGTGAGCATTAATAAATCATGTAGAACAACCAACACCATTGACTTTACAGACATACAAAGACTCCTGCTGGGCCCACATTCATTGTGAATTGAGTGTATACTAAATACAGGCTGCTTCTGGTATAGCACACAACTGATGGTATAAACTGCTGAAAAGCTGGAAGAGAAAAAAGTTTTTTTTTACCGGTGTCTGAGTTCAAGGCTCTGTCTCTGTTTGCCTCCTCTCTTCCACGAAAGCAATGGGAAAAAGAGAGAGATAGGATGAGATAAAGAGAGGGAGGGAGGTGTGGCAAAGAGGAAAGAGATAGGGTTTTTTTTCGATTGGTTTTGTTCTCGCTCTTGCTGTCTGTCGCTCTCTGGTCTTTACGATGTGGCTCTTCCCTCGTCAGCCTCTGTACGTCAGCCTGTCACAATCAATTCTACTCACATGCAATGTGTTGTCCTTTCTTCTCTGCTCATCCCTCCCATGCTTCTTTTTAAAAAAAAAAAAGGGTAGGGAAGCTACAGACAACCCCGGCCCAGTTAACTTTCTCCCTGTGACAGTGTGAGGCTATTTTGCTATTGGCTATTCAGCTTGCAACTCCCTGTGACCTTCAACCTAATTGGCAGGTAGACAGATAATGTCAGGAAGATGATAACAATACTGTTATACATCATATTATTCCATCTTGAGTGCTTCATTCCATAGTTAATAAGGTCAAAAAACACAGGTAAACAAACAGAAGTAAATGAATAAATCATCAATTAATCTACTCATTGAAAGTTGATCAAATATAGTAAAATATAAAATCATCAACGCATTAGTTATCAGAGCCCACAATGTCTTAAAATTCCTTATTTTGCCTGAACAACAGTCAAAAAACAAAAAAAGGTTTGTAAATAATAATAAACTAAGAACTACGAATAGAAATTCTATCCTCACGTACTGCTGTATCCAGTCCAGCAGATGTGTGGAAAATCCATTTAATATTAGATAATCAAAATTGCCACTGTTCAATCAACTAATTGTTTCATTGCTAATCACTATGTTTATATTTTTCCATCCATCAAGGTCGGTTATCTTTTGTGTTTTCAACAGCATTTACGTAGCACCTTTGAACATATATTTGTTGTTTGTGTATGCAGCAGAAATGTGCTGTATGTGCCAACTGTTGAGAAATATTAATGTTTGGCAGGCAATGAACATGGACAACACGTGCACAACCAAATAGATGGGTGAAGATGTAATACGGGGAAAATCTATTCCAGGAGAAAATATGACCTTAGCTTTGCCTTCTTGCCTGAAATCAGAGATGACAGTTCCATGACTCAAAGGAACTCAGACATGATCCCTCACCCACAGAGACACACAACATACCCAGAAACACTGACACAGAGGGAAATGTTTGTGGTTTTGGTTGTTTTTGTTATTAAATACACCAAGAGGGTTTATTTCAGGAATGACATTTTGACATGTCACAATAGGAAATGCACAGGGGGAAATAATAAAATGAACGATGGCTGACTTACTTCAGTTTCAGGGTCATGGTAGGCCTGGACCATAAAACAATAACTATCGCAATATAATTTTTTTCAAATGTTCAATAAATGTTTGACTTTATTCACTTGAATCATACAAAAATTAGGACTTAATTTTTTTATTAAAGATGTTTATTTTGTTGAGGAAATAGGACCGAAAAAAGCGTTTACTTAATTTTTGTCGTGGATATTTGTTGAGAAAGATTTTATCGTAATTGTTTTGAATGTTCTACCTCAGATTTGTGAAGTCATTCGCTGTTTGGCCTCAATTGTTGACCGAAAAGAACAGTTTAAACCATGTGGTTTCTTCAACTTTTACTCAAGAGAAAACTATCAGCCTTTAAACTCGAAAGAAATATGATTTCAAACTTATTGTGATAATTATCAATATCGTAAAATATGAAACTTTTTATCATGATAACATTTTTGGCCATATCGTCCAGCCGTAGATCATGGTAATCTGCATGCTTGCTCACAGTGAGACTATCATGATTTACTAGGACACTTTAAAGAACAGTGCCATCGTTAATGTTATCAGTGACACCTGTGGTTTTCCTGTTGTGACAAATCAAACCATCGGCTAGTGAACTGAAGAGAAGTATTTTCTGCAAAATAAAACCTTTTAATAAAACTTCGTAAAATGTTAGGCAATTATCTATTAATCCACCATTATCTGTAAATAACTGGTCACCCAGTGTTTCCCATTAATTAACGAGTCTCAAAATTAACCGAAAATGGTTTTACACATCTCATAATAACGTTTCAGACGTCTAACATTGTGTTTTTTGGGTGCTGCTGTAAACTCGCACGCTCTGGCATCCGACTCGAGACAACCACTTTTCTTTTGAGGTAACGTTAACGGCCTGTTTCTGTCACTCGTTTGTGAGACGGCAATTAAGCCAGCCGCGCCTACATTTGGAGTGCACACGTATTTATGCTAAATCCACTGTAACGGCCCAGTGCGAGCTGACGGGCAGGTTAGCGAATTTATCTTGTCAGTTTCTCTCTTTACAAAGACAAGTGTTGCAGTATGAGAGTCCTACCTGAAGAGAGGCTGTAAAGTCTTCATGTTACGCGATACGAGAATCACATTCAACATTATTTATCAAATTGGGTCGGACTTGATGACTTTAGCGCGACGACAACACATATATATATATATATAAAATTGGATCATATTCACAGAAAGTATAAAACATATTACATGTGTCCATAAATAGTAAAACAACAACAACAATTAAATGTTAGGGAAGTTACTTATTATATTTTCTATTTTTGATTTAGTGTTTTTGGAAAAACATAATAAATTTGTTGACTTTTGTTGCTGTTTCATCACTATTTATAGCTATACAATGGGTTTATGGTTAAATTTATTAGAGCAAAACATTGTTTACAAGTGTACATTTAATTTTGCACCAAATTAATGCATTAACTTTAAAATTCAGAAAATTTTTGTTCTGAAGGGGCATGCCCCCCTGACCCCCCAACAGGGCCCGAGTCCCACCCACCATAGTCTCTTAAGATCCTGTGGGAAACACTGGGTCACCTGTATCAAATTATCATCTATCAGTATGTATATTTTGGTGCAGACCTATACCCCCTCTCAGATTGGATAAAAACAATCTCTATCAAGAAATTAGAGTTGAGCTTTCCTTCCACACAGAAACCTTACAGGCGCTGCTCTAGCGGTCTAGTTTGATTAACTGTGGTGATCTTGTCTAGGCTGTTTCTAACACATGACTCTTGTGTTTCTCTTTATCCAGCCGATACAGATCCACTCTGGGGAAATGTGAAGTTTGGGTAAATGTAGGTTTCTTAAAGTGGAACTTCCACAATGTCCTTATCCATCTATGCAAGTAGTCATCATCAGTCATGCCAAATCCAGGCAGTGTTAAAAGGTAAAATTATTTTATGTTTTCATTCGAAAAGATAGAGTATCTGGTCAGTCTTTTTGGACTTTCTCAGATGTCTGATACTCTACAAAATGGCATGTCTATAGGAAGCAGGCTTTAAATATAGCAATCTTGTGCTGTGCACAGGGAAAAGGAAGTGCCAGCAGAAGGGGCTGTGTATTGTTGCCTTTAGGAGGCTTTGACCCTTCTCCCAAACTGAGCTCCTTTACACAAGGCCAAACCGAACAACAGGAAACTAGCAACAATGAGGCTCCACACCCCCTCCAAATGTAACACATGAGGCTTCCCTTCAATTTTATAATGCAATGCCTTTACTGAACACAGAAAATAAATAATCTGATCCTTATGTCTGATGAAAACTAAGCATGTTAGTAACCTCGTGTAACAAGTAGGATTAGGTTAAAACTCTTATTCTCTTAACTCTTATTATCTCATTACAAAAAGGACCACTTCTATTATAAAACACACCATTCATAAACAGAAACGTAAACGTATTTTATTTTTATAGCAAAGACACAGACACTGTCCCTTATTGTTAGGCTCCTGACAAAGCTAAAGAAATATTTTGAAAGTAGTGGTGGTTTTGGACTGATTGGATTGTTCCAGTTACAGTGAGAGTGGCCTAGTTAACAGGTGAATAGAGCAACAGAGGGGGTTTGTTTGGTCAGAACAGCTGATCCACAGTGCCCGCAGGCAGCATCCTGTTAAATCTGCTACCTTCTTTCCCAGACATTCGTCACCATGGGTCAGCCTGCACCCATGTCACAGGAGCGTCACCAGTTACCCTATCTATTCGCTTAATCGATTTATGCAGTTACAGGGAGTGACACACTAGGTTAATCTAGTTTAACTCCATCCCCTCCCTTCCCCTCTTGTTATGACTGAAGTACCTGTTCAGGTTGGTCCTGTCAGTGTCAGCGGCTGAGATTGTTAGGGGGTACAGAACGTCATGAGGTGAATATAAATACAGCGTGGAGAAATGTGTTAGTAGTTAAAGTCTACTACAGCGATAGCATTACTACGACAGCTACAACAAACTGTAAGTTACAAATAACGTTATTGTAACTACCACCGGGTGATGCTCTGAACTATGGCTATGACAGCAGCGGAGGAGGTTGACAGGGGACACTTATTTCTATGCTTTCAAACTGTTCAACGTCACGTATAGATTTTCTCAGTGCCTCCTCGTTTTGATGCCACACAACAATCACAGGACCGAAGCAGCTGAGGCAGAACCAGAGGCTTAAATTCTAGCTCTTCATTTTGACTACATGAGGCCAGCTAACGTAGCTGCTAACTGATGCTAGCGGGAGGTGACAGTTCGGTGCGCGTAAAAAAAAAACAAAAAAGGAGGGGACGTTATTAAAGGGGAAAGCGACAGGGAGGCTGTGACGAGGTTGGCACGGCACCGACAGACTCACCCACTGGACCCTCTTTGTGTTTCGATGAGCGCCTTCCATTCACACCTTTCTCATATCTGCTATTCCCACCACTCTTCTTGTTCGACGCCATCTTCGCCCACTCTGTTTACGCACCGCCTCTCACATCTCTCCTACATACCTGCCTGGGACGGCCAAGGCCCCGCCCACGACAAATACGAAAGCCAATGAACGACTGCGTCGCGGTCCAGTAGCCAATCACGACACTGGAAAATTGACAAGCGCCCGCCCGGAAAGGCGAGTACAGATTAGAGGGGCATTAAGGTCTTTAGAGAATGTATGGCGCAATTTGTAGGATTTATTACACAACTTTATTCTTTGAGCACACAAGCAAATACACTGTAATACACAAGAAAATCATCCAATAAAATGCAAGACATTCTTTCTATATTTTTAAATGAATATTAAAGGAGCCGACAACTAAACAGTCTCACCACCAGGTCCACTCATGAGCAGTTCTGGAGCTTTCAATCACATCACACGACCTTCCTTAGAAGATGGATTTTTCATGATGTTAAAAAGAAATGGACTCAGACCAGCTACTGAGTGCAGGCCTCTAGCTACTGTTGAAGCCACAGAGTGCATATCCTCTGTTTATTTAGGGACGTGAAGGATAGTTTCATTTTCATCATTTCAGGATAAAACACAGACATTTTGGAGTTGACCACACTGTTTTTAAATGCATACACAAAATAAAATACACATCTGAATGTAACAGACATGACCTGGGGTGGAGGGGCTTGTTTCAATTCTGGCTACTGCCCTGAATGAAGAGGCAAGACTGTTTTGTCATTTGCTGTTTCCAAGGTCAAAAATAAATGTTTAATCTCAAATTAAAGAAGCTGATAAAACAATGTGTGGTCAGATGCTAAAACTATAACTGCAGGCTATGTACACAACTCAAAAGTCCAATGTGTGAGCTAAAGAATGAACCTGATATTCAGATATCACACACTTAAACTTCAGCTCTTGACATAGGACTTAGTACTCTCCCTTTCTTCCTTCCCTTTTTATCTCTTCTCCTTTCTTTCAAGGTTTCTCCAGCTGAATCTCCTCCTCTTCCTCTATGATGTTGCAAACATCCTGGTATGGGCCATGTGCCTGGGAACGTTCGATTTGATCATATGTGGTGCAACAGTCGTCCAGATTTAGCCCCTGGTGTATGAGATAAGGAAGATGGAAATCAGATAGACACACAAAAATCAATGAAACATTCATGTTAAATTGATTAGTAGCACAAGATAACATGTTCATACACATGTTTCTTCCTGCTGTTTCTTATATGCATGCCATGACATGTGTTTGACTCTGAGAAGATGTGACTCATTTCAAGTTCACCTGGTAAATGTTTTCCTCTTCCTTCGTCACTTTCTTCTTCTCCAGTTCACTAAGTCTCTTTGACTGTGAGGGGAAAACAAAAGTTGGTAAAGCTATGAAATGGTGCAACATCCCAAGATACAATAAGAAAACTAGAACTGCAAGCAGTTATAAGCGGGGTCCAAGCCTCCTGGTACAAGCCGCCCCTAATTCCCAGAGAAGTTGCGAGTCGGCCCGGGCCCGCCATGATTAATTGTCCCATAATCACAGGCCCCCGAGCCACGGCGGGGCCCGTGGAGAATAAATGACCAGACTTATAAATGAAAGGAGTTTGCAGCCGGTTACGGAGATGTGAAATGAATGTATGTCTATGGGAGTGTTATTTCATTTCCAATTAATAGCGCCACCTAGAGGTCGCTTGACGTCAAATTTCACACAGCCCCTCTGCAGGGTGTGATAGATAAGGTCCCCAAGTTTGGTGTAGGTCGGCCATTGCAAACGTAAGACCTGACATGACATCCTGTTTTACCGTTTGCGCAAACATTTGTTATCTTATAATTCGGACGTTTTTTAGCGTATCAAAATTCCATCTACAAACTTTTATTGGCTTGGTCCAGAGATGGTCTCTGCCAAGTTTCGTGCCGATCGGAGTTGCGGCTTCGGAGGAGTAAATTAAAATAGGTTTTTCAGTTTTGGCAATTTAGTGAAATGAAAACGTCATCGCACAGAGGCGTGTCCTATACCATAGGAATCGGCAGCCTCCCCAAAACACGGAGACATACCTTTTGGCTGAATTCCACCAAATTTTTGAGGTGTCATCAGGGGTCAATGAGGAACATTTGTCCCAAATTCGGTGTTAATCGGACTTGTGGTTATGGAGATATAAAATGCATGTAAGTCAATGGGATTTTTTTTGACATCTTTAATCTGCAAAAACAGCGCCACCTATGGGCATATTTGGGTCAACTTTGGTGCCTGTAGTAAGGGGACCATGCTGAACAATTCGGCTCAGGTTTCATGTGAATGTGCCTTGTGGTTTTAGACGAACAATTTTTTTTGTATAAATAGTGCCACCAAGGGGCAAGTTGCACCAAATTTTGCACAGGACCTCAGGGGGGCGTCCCACATTATTACTGCAAATTTGGTGTGGATTGGCCTTTCCAAAGCGAAGATATTACATCATTTCCTGTTTTTAGCTTTTTTGCAAATATTTTCTAGCATATAATTGCGACATTTTTAGTTGAATCAACAAGTTCCCAGCTCCGCTGATACTGGGAACCGAGATTGCAAGGCATCGTGGTTCCCATTTGAGAATAACCATTTGAGAAACTTATAGCTGCATGTGATACAGTCAAAGTAATTTCTGGTGTGTTGACATGAGTGAAAAGGCAATACCACTATTGAGACATTTTGGAAATTAACCATGGCTTCAACATCAATGCTATGGGTCTGAGGTAGTTGATAGATCAGTGTATGATACATGGACAGTCAGTCATAATAATGTGACCTTCTGACCTGGAAGATAAGGCTGGCAGAAGGCACAATCACACACAGCAACAGTAAGATTCCCTCGGCTGTCAGGATCTTGTTTTTGGTACTTTCTCTGAGGCTTATTGTCTTCTCCAGTGGTTCTAGGCATATAGTCAGGGTGAAACAAACAAAGGTGAAACAAACAAAACAACAGTTGTGCATTGTAGATGCTAGAGTGTTTAAAATACATTTAAAAAAAGAATCAGGCTAACTAAATGTTTTTTCCTGTTTTGTTATATAACTGTACTATTTAGTGTAAAGAACACTGTCTAACATATACGTGACTGATAGTATTGTTAGGTAAGGGTAAAGGTGTTCTTGTAAACAAATGCAAGTTATCTCACACATAATCCTCAGAGGTGTTTAGTGACATTTCCGCATCTGCCATCCGTATTTAATGAGATAGTGATGCAAAATGGCATTTCAGTATGTCAATGCCTCCACACGTTAGCTTGATTGCAACTTGACTTAATCTTGGTGCTATTTAAAGGAAATGTCTGGGCAGCAGACTGTAATGAGACCACACTGATGTGCACACAGCTCTTTGGATAGACTGTTAACAGGATTTATGGCTTATTAGGTGTTAGCAGTGCTTAGAGCTACCTTGACTCCTATCTCTCCATATTAAGCACACATACACTAGCATTTCCATTTGGTTTGCACTGCAATTAGGGTCCCTGCCACCACCACACACACAAAACACTCACCATAGACCTGCAGGTAGGTGCCATGCGTGTAGTCGAGGATGCTACCGTCAATCAGCACACACCAGTAGAACCCAGTGTCATTTAAACGGGCTGATTTTAAGGTTAGGATGCCACAAAATATGCCATTGTCCTCTGTGTTATTTGTAGTCACACTGTCTGACAATGGCAAAATAGGAATGCTTTCGTTACGTTTGTGTTTGGCCCAAGTCACGTTCTTCACATTGGACTTGTAGCAGCATTTCAGGATAGCGGTCTCAAAGAGCTTCACCCTCAGAAAGGGCCTGTCCGCCTCTAAACTCACCTCTCCCTGAGCAATAACCACTGTGGAGGAAGCAACAATTAGCATCATGTTATTTTGTGCATTTATTATATGTGTACCCCTATTTGATATTAACCCAACATTTTTCAAATGATTTAATTATGATCACATTGCATAACCTGTATTTACAATGTGGTCTTAAAAGCTGAATAACATAAGCAGATCAAATGAGCTTTAAATGTATAGCATAATTAACCAAAATGAATACAGCAAAAATGCAACATGATAAGCACAGCCATCTGCTTTGACAGGAGATATGGTTCACTGGAGCAGAACTCAAAATAGCCAAAAGTTTTTATGTAAAAACATGTAGGAATCCCTATTTCCTACAAAATACAGAAGATAATTACACAGAAAATTTAAAACAAATTGTTCTTGTTAGTATTTATACACTATACAATAAGTTTAGATATTATGGTATACTTAAAATAATTTGATCTGACTCACCAACAATGCTGCAGAGAATAAAGTTCACAACTGTTCCCATTGTGTTTACAAAGGTTTAATCCAGAGATCAAAAAATGGACTAAAATAATGTAGATACAATTATTTATACAACACTGGTCGCAGTCCTCACTGTTTCTGTACTAACACACGGGTGTTCACACACACGGCTTTTCTCTCAGTCAGGATTTCCGCTTCAATGAATTTGGACCATCTCACATTTGCATAAAAGTTATATCTGCAGGCATTTATACAATATATTTCAACATGCAAAGGATCCCAGAACAATCCATCTAAACCCTTTGTTTACCCATGAAGAGTCACACCCAGCTAACGTTGAACCCCAAACCTTTTACATTTTAATAACACAGCATTTTCAAAATGACAAAACAGGCATTTGTTTCCTCAATTTATTTAAAAAATGAAGAATTAAAAAACAGAACGTACCACAATTTTCCTGAAGTATACATCATTAAAAGAGCCTCTTACAAAAAAATAAAAAGCCAAATACACAGTATAGTTCTTGCATATTTCTTGTTTATAGATAGAAAGATGGCAGATGCCTTGTAACAAAGAGCAGTGTCTTTTCTATACAGGGCGCTGGCTGGCTAAGTTGGTGGAGGGCTCAAACCCTATTGCTAAAAACAGAATCCTGGGATGATCTCTCAATGCTTATTAGTGACTGGGTCATTGTCTCTCACTCTCAAAGGTCAATTTCACAGTCCTCCATGAAAGACAACCAAACAACAGTGATTGTATTGCAGACTTTAGAGCCCTTTATGACAAAAACAACTTGATCATCAGAACAAGGCACCACTCTATAAATACATTTTCTATGCATCTAGATATTTGTATAAAGAATGCAAGAGGAAAAGCATCTGGAGGAGAGAGAGAGAGAGAGAGAGAGAGAGAGAGAGAGAGAGAGAGAGAGAGAGAGAGAGAGAGAGAGAGAGAGAGAGAGAGAGAGAGAGAGAGAGAGAGAGAGAAGTGCCTGTAGTAGTCATTCAGCCAGTGAGTGAAGGGATCACCATAAGCTGGTGTTAACTGAGTGTCACCTGCTGACTATTGCAGTCTTACAGTTAAAAATCCCTGGTTGAGATGATCTGAATCTGTATCCCATTGTTTAACTGGATAGCCACAGTGCAGAGCAGATTTTACTCTTTAACATGCACGCCACAAAAATACAGATACAATATTTGCATAGTTGTTAAATTCACTTATGCATTGACAAGTTACAGACAAGTCCTGTCTCTCTCACCGTTATGGCCAAATGCATATACATAATTACAAAAGCTTGTTTGGGGAAAAAAAACCCAAACCGTAACAAAAACCTCCCCGACCCGTTTAAGAAAATTAAATGAAATACACAACAACATATAGTAAAACTGCGGTAGGAAAAGGTGATCATGCTATGGAAAGTGAGGGTGTTTATCAAGAAGTTCATGTGGCTAATAAGCATAATAAACACAAAGAGTGGGGTTAATTTATGCTTTCTCTACTTTTTTTCCCCTTCAAGCTAACATCTATGTACAATGTCTAGGAGGGATGACAGAATTGTTCAAACACAAACTTATATAATTTAGCAACTTGTGACATTTGAATGACTAATGAAACCATCATTTGCATAATTTCATACTAAGGTTTTAATAGGGTCAGAGGGGGCATTTGTTGTTGTGGCAACAACAATGAGAATGCAAATCAGGAAGCGTTCATGATTACAGTACTGGGAGAGAGACGTTGGAATGAGACTGCAGTCTTCCTTCCTCCAAACCTTCAATGTTTCCTTTGTATCCTCATCTGGCTCCTCTGTCTTGTTGTCCTTTTTCTGCTTGCTGAAACAGGTCCCATGTGTTCAATTTAGCACCAGAGGTGTTAACAGTCCTCTATCCAGGTCAGAACAGTACAGCTTATGGCAGTCACACTGGCTTTTACACTTATTGACCCAGACAGACACTGAAGTCACTGAAGTGTATGCAAGAAATCGCTCATCTACAGATTCTGTTTGGGTTCGCTCACAAGGCTAGAGCAGTCCGACATTCTTTGCCTCAGTATTTACTTGTACATTTACGAGACAATTGAGACCAGGTATTTTTATGACAACTAGTGCTTTTGAAATCCCTTCACTTAAGTAGCCAGACACGTGTTGGAGTTTCTCCAACACGTGTCTCCGTCTCTCCTGCATCAGCATTAAGTGACATGCAAATATACAGATGAAGCGTGTCGTTAAGAAAATTACAGCTCATGTTGAGGATCTAACGGTGCTTTGTCTTTGGTCCTGTGTGCAAGGCCACAGTTATGCCACTACTCAGAAATTATATCATCATAATTATAATTACAGTCAACTGCTGAATAAAATACACAGACAGAGCTCAATTTTGATACAAATATTTCTACCAGGGAAGAATATAATCTTTTACTAACAACATGTGAATCTGATGTCCTATAATACAATTTATAACCTCACACTGCCAAAATGATGCTGGCACTGAAAAACCTTTGTGAACACTTCTGTAGCACTGGGCTCTCAGTGTTTGTAGGTTTGTACATGTGTATGTGTGTCTATATTTTTCTACAGTACAGTGAGCGCAAATTCTAATCTCATGTTGTCCCCCCCCCAAATCTCCTGATGACCGTCTGGTTCAAGCTTGCTTCAAATAAACCAAAAGCAACAGCCTCTAACTCTCTCCCCGACCCTACATTTCTCTTCTTCACCTCTACCTTGATCTTTCTTACACATTCCAGGTTTGCCTTCTTATGATTTTTTTCTCTCTAACACATTGCTTCATCTCTTTTTGGCCCAGTGCTGTAACAGTTTCACTCAGGTGAGGCAACTCACTGACCCAGCAGAACTCAGTGGAATAAATAAAAGCGGTAAATACAAACAAGTCTCCATTATTAACAGCATGATTACCTATGGTGCCACTATTTGTAAATGTTTCTTTGTGACCTAATGACAGTAAGGACCCTCCAAACAAGCACGTCCTTAATTAAAAACTTTGTGTAACACACATACACACACTTTCTTGCATGCAGTATTTTCAGTAATGAGGGCTGCCTACATGAAGCCCAACAGTTAAAAAACTGTACTGAATAGAAAAACAACGTAATACATTTTGCAAAAGACAATGTTGGTTTCACTTGTTTTGATTAGAAAAAGTGCATCTCTGTGGTACTTTGGCATAGACTAGAAATAACACTATATATCAGCAGTAGTATCTCAATACATCTTCAAACCCTATACATTGGCCCTTTAAGGCTTCCACCTGGTTATAGCTAACTTGGCAGGCAAACATAGGATTTCTCCTTTACTGTGCATCTGCTACTGGCAATAATGTAAATTATTTTCTAGCGTGCATGTCTCTGGTGTGCGTATGTGTGTTACAGCAGATCGCACTCACTACATTTTGTTAGGCAGCATCTCTCTCAGCAAATATATTGCATAATTTTTTTGGCACCTCTCTACAAAAACGAGCTCCCACTCTAAAGTAGGATGTCTCATTTTTTTCTTTTCTTTGTATACCTCTCTACCAAGCACGCACGCAAACAGACACACATACACATGCACATATGTCCCATCCCATGTTTCATCACTGAACCACTGCACTGTGCACTCCAATGCAGCAAAGGGTCCAGACATGACTTATGAGTGTAGGAATTTCCAGGGAAGCCTCCGAAAGTCACTCTTGCACTCCAAACCAGCACCAGTAAAAATCTAAACAGAAGAGAAGACGAGGGAAAGGTTGAATGAGACAACTACATGTCAAGTTAATGAGATTGACGATGAACAAGGACGTCATTTCCACTGGGGATGGGACAGGCATTTCCCCTCACTTTACAAAATCCTATTCCTTTCCTTTTACAGTTTCAGTTCAATTTTGTCACTAAAATCTCTCTAAACACTGTCCTACCTCTTCACAGCAGCAAAGAAACAAAAACAAAAAACGCCTATGAGAAGAGCTGAAAAAATAAAATTGATTTGCTTATCAGTGTTGTCTTCAGTTATTACATCTACAAGTGTTTTGGGGACCTTTTTGCCTTGACCTTCGCCTTCCAGGCTACATACAAGCTGAGTGTTGTTTTTGTCCTTTAAAGCCTGGCAGGAGGACTGCAGATAATTCTCAAAGCTGAAAAAGGTGCTTCTGCTTCTTTTTCATGTTTTCTGTGTAGAAAAATCATCTTAAAACATTATTTTAATTTACAGATGATTTTCTCTTAAATGATGCAAAAAGTGACTATCATGTCTCTATAAAGTAAACTAAATATGATTTTAAGAAGGTTTAGCACATTAATAATCCATTACATTAATATGCACGTTAACTTGATCTCCACATTTAAAGCACTTTGTAACTCTGTTTTGAAAAGTGCTTTAGAGATAAAGTTTATTATATTTATTATTATAGAAAGCCTGATAACCAATTTCTTTTTTGGCTAGATTGATGCTGGAAATAAGAAAAACATATTAGCTCCACTTCTGAAACTAAACCTATGACCTTGATGATGATTGATGAAACTTCAGAAACATTAATTTAAATTATACTTGATTGTCACTTCGAGTAGCTAGTTCTCACCAAGTGGCCAGCAGGTGGCGTGGTCTCACTGGAAGTTACCCCCCCCAAGCGAGAACTTGGAAAGGGCCTCCTGCAGCCTGTGGTGCTCCTCTTCTACAGTCTGCAAAACACAAAATCAATTTTCACGTTAGTAACTGAGGACAGACACACACACACACGCACACACACACACACACACACACACACACACACACCCCCCCTCCACCTCTTAACATCCTCTCTTCGTCTCCCTCACCGCTTCTCTGACACATCCCATTCAAAGTGCTGGACATAATAGCCATTTTCTGAGAAGTCCAATTTCACAAGGCAATTTTCAGCCAAGCAATAACAGCAGTGGTTAAATGGTTTTCTATTCTCTAGTTTCTCTTTTGTGCCATTTTGGCCCCATTTGTCTAAAGTATACCACAGCTCACTCCTTACTTAAGTTATCCTCAGTGAAATCCTTGATGTCCAACTATGTTTCTTATTCCAGTCGGCTCCCATCTTTTGTTCTGTCTCTCATCTTTATCTACCCCCGTCACACTACCTGCTCGCAGTTTCTCTCCCTCTCGGTCCACCTCACCTGTAGTATCTTTAGTTGTTCCTCCAGACTGTGAAGCCTCCTGCACACTTCCTCCATCCTCTCCTGGGACAGCACCAGGGGCGCGCTGATGCTCCTCTTCTCCTCTCCCTTCGCCCCT